CATCCATCCATCCATCTATCATCCATCCATCCATCCATCCATCTACCTATCTATCTATCCATCCATCCATCTATCTATCCATCCATCCATCCATCCATCCATCTATCCATCCATCCATCTATCCATCCATCTATCCATCCATCTATCTATCCATCCATCTATCATCTACCTATCTATCCATCCATCCATCTACCTATCTATTCATCCATCTATCCATCCATCCATCCATCTATCCACCCACCTATCTATCTATCTGTTTGTCTGTCCATCCGTCTGTAAAGCACTAAATGACATCTCATTTGTCAATCAATATCTTCTTAAATATTAAAAAGTCCCTTAACTACTGAGGTAAAGTGCGACTCCATATAAATTCAGCCTCCAGACTCTGGTTCTTTACATTAAGATTCAACATTGTCCTTTTTATCTCTCCTCCTCCTACTGATCATTTCTCTGGCTGACATCCTTTTCAGAAAGCTGTTCTTTAGCCTTTACAAAGCCTTGTTGAATAAATTTACCACATATCCTGAAATACAAAAAAAAAAAAAAAAAAAGGAACAACAAAAAAACTGCAGAGGCTAAAAAAAAAAAACTTGAACTGAATACAGGGGTCCTCGGTTTGCGACGTTCTCGGTTTACGACATCCTTGATGTACGGTGTTTCCCGATTACGTTGTCTTCTCGAAGATCTTATCCGTCACTCGCATGTACAGTGTTTAAAACTCAGCAACTTTACGCGATACCACGTTAGCGAGAAAGTGGTAACTTAACCACATGGAAGACAGCTTTGTTAGCATTCGCCGTTTTTCGGAAATCATGTATTAATTCCCGACTCCCTCTATAGGTCATTATATATAGCGCACTATATAGTGGACTCATCAGTTAAATGACAAGCGGTCAAGTTACAACTTTGGCGTGCAGTTATTGACGTACTAATCATTTACAGAATCTACTCCTCAATGTCGTCACGGCTGCGATGCACGATGGGATATATTGCTTGGCTAATGTACTCCAGATGTAGAATACATGTTGTGGTGCATTGTGGGATACATTGAGTGCCCTATATAGTGGACAACTTTACTCACTTTATGTGTCCTCTCTAGAGTGCACTATATAGGGCTGGCATGGGCAAACTAAGGCCCGGGGGCCGGATGTGGCCCGTTCAGGTTTTTAATCCGGCCCGCCAACTTTTCCAAAAATGTATTTATATTATCACGATACTTTAGCCTTTTCCTGCAATACCCATGTTTCACCAATAGATGGCGCAGAAAGTGATAAAAGCATCTTAGCATTTTAGCCTTTATGCATGACTTTTCCACGTCATTTATCCTAGTTCACACGAACGCTCAATCGATCTGCTCTTGACCCCCCAAGTGTTCAATTTTAGGACAATTGTGGCCCGCGAGTTAAAAAGTAGGATTCAGGGAGTGGTTTGGGACAAATCCCGTATATTAGATTGTGGTACTTTTTTAGGAACTTTTCGTCCTTCAGATGGCTCCCAAGTGTAAGTCAGACTCTACTAATGTCTTAGGTTATGATGTTACTACTGTGATAGCGTAGGTGAGTGACGTAGGCACTAATGTGCAGTATGAGCTCCATCTTAGAGCGAAAAATCAAGTTACGTTGAACAGCTGGAAAGGAACTCAAACCTAGGTCTTGGACCCCTGTATGCAGCAGTATTGAATTTATTACAGTATATTATTCCATTTGTTCCCTGTTATATGGGAGGCGGGTTTGAAGGATGATGTTAATTCAAAAGTTTAAACCCGTAAAGTCCATTGAGGCAAATGTGTTTTGTAAAATCGGGCTGCGCAAATACAATTGATGACTAGGATAAAAGTTTTGCCGTCACCGCAACTTTTTGACTTACTCCGGGTATTTCTTCCTGCAGCACTCGTCTGTCGTCTGCTCTCCTTTTCAGATAAAAACCAAAATTCTTTATTACGAATGGATGTTGCAAAAACCTTACAAAGACGCATTTCACCTCCATGTATCTTTTTTACTCATGCCACGGCATAAACGTCGGTGCACGCACTAAAGAGCAGCAGAGTTATGGGCCCTGTGCGCCTCCCTGTGCAGTCAGTCACCTGCAGCTTTATCCTCCTCCCCGCAGAAGGAAGTCTGCTCTCTGACACCTCCGTCTCTCTCTGCCGTAATTCATCATTTTCAACAAACACTCTCTCACTCACACAATACAAATGGCATGCAGATACTGACGCGTCTGCCGACGATGAAAGGACACACCTTAGAGTTCAGACCGGCTGCCCTGAACCTCCCCTACGCCCCCCCCCCCGGGCTACATAATTTACAGTGACTGTCTGTGAGTCTGACCTGTTTTTCCATGATGTTGGTGGAAACTTCCAGACGATTATTCATGTCTGTGCAAACTCCCGACTGAGGGATGCACATTTTTCATGTTCTGAGGGGTAGAAAAAAAAAACATGTACAGTACCTAATTTTGGGTTTGTAGGTAAAAAAAATAATTGTTCATCAAGCGCTCTAACCTGAGAAGTACTCTTGAAATCCCACTTCTTCTGACTGGATCTTGATTTTTTTTTTCCTCCCCCAGGTTGTCTCTATTCCCGGACGTTGACTGGCAAACTGTCCAGGCTGTACCGTGCCCTCATCCTTGTCTGGTGACTGCTGAGAAACAAACATTAACACCTACACTCACACTACGAAAAGAAGGGTCAATTTAGAGTGAACATTTTTTTTTTTTTTTTTTTTTTGTACTTCAGGTGAAAACAGGAATAGACAAAGAAAACGCCCAAAATTAGGAGAAAATACAAACTCCTTAGAGAAATACTTATCAGTAATAAAGGGAGTATTTCTAGGTGTAAAACACAGAAAGGAAGAACCTAGTTAATCATATCATCATACATATATATTTTTGTATTATTATTGCCAATACTTTATTAATCCTCTAAGGGAAATTATTCCACATTTAACCCATCTGATCTACCTACACTGATAATATTAAAATATATTTACATGCACATATAAACTGAATATACCTAGATTTACATGATGTGGTCATGGTGCTGAATTCAATTCAATTCAATTCAATTTTAAAAATTTGAATCACTCATGATCTACTGGTAGACTGCGACCTACTTATTGGGCAGCCCTGCACTGCAGTGATTAACATACACAAACCACAACTGACCACCGATGTTGTCGGCGTCAGGATTCAAACCAGAATCCTCTGATTAGAAGAGAGCATAATGAGCAGATGCGCATCATCTCCACAGAGTAAGGGTGCAAACTTGGAGGAGCGCTGAGCAGAATAATACTGCGCCCACAGTTTAAAGGGTCAATACACTTTCGGAGGGTTGAACAGACTTACGTAATATTGAAATAGTACCTTGTTTCTCTCACTTATTTCTGCGTGTTACTGAACTTTATGGATCAAGGTGTAGCCAATGAACTCGATGTCGGAAACAAATAAAGAGAAAAGCCCACTCTAGCCTGAGTAGATCATTTCAGGAGAAACTAGCTATGGATATTAATCATCTCCATAAATGTGTATTTAACACCGTGATTTACATTGATAGATTTCAAAGCGCCTCCCTAAGGTTCCTTCCAGATTTAATGGCTCAGCTCCACTTAGTGACAAACATTCTGAGTCATCCCTAAATTGAAATAAGAGCCTCATAATTGCTCCAGTGAAAGCAAGAAAAGGGGAAAAAAAAAAAAAAAAAAAAACCCCAACAACAACAGTCAGGAGTCTGACTCGTGTGAGTGGGAGAGTTAAAAGCATTTCAGAGACGTTAACACCATTTCTCCCCCTTCACTGCCATTCAAAGGCGATGCAGTCTGACGGCCTGACACCGAGTCGGTTCCAGCGACTGTGCCTCGGCTCGGTGTGTGTCTTTGATAGAAGGGGGAGGGAAATCATGGTGATGGAGAGAAACTTCACGACTGTGTCTCTTAAGTCAAACGGTTGACATGTCTGCTTTTTGGAACCTTGTATTCTTTCTCAGGGACCTTGTCGTCTTCAGACTTCCTTCAGACCGAGGACTTGTTCCTAGGCTTAAAAAAAACTCATGCAGGTCAGTTTTGACTTTTTGAGAGAATAGGATTTTCTTCTGAATAAACTCGACCTGAGGGCGCACCCATGAAGCTACACAAGGAGGAAAATATTGCAGGACAGCTGTAACGCGATTAGCCTGGAAACTGACACAACAACAGAACACCCAACAGCCTCGTCATCCGAGGATGATGCTTAGGAAGGTGAGTGGAGCAAGCAACTCTCCGGAACGCCACTCTCCCAGGGTGTTGCAGGTGTCACCCACAGCTTCTGTTTAATTTAGGGGAGAAATGTAGAAGACAAAGGTCATTGTGGGTAAATTCATGTGTGTGTTAAAAATATGTTCAAAATGTTCAAAAACATTCAAACAATCACATTTTTTATGTTACTCTTTATCTTTGATTAGATACATTTTGATTTGATTAAATTAGATAAAATGTAGATTGCACTAGATATGTTTTGATTGGATTACATACGTTTAGCGTATTTTATGGACTGAGTCGCACCAGCCAAAAATTGCTTAATGAAGAAGAAAAAAAAAAAGAAACATATATGTCGTTCCAGAGTATAAGTTGCACCAGCTGGCTAGAGTGCCCTCTAGCGGCTGTCAGCGTGAAAATAACAAACATATACATTTTCAGTGGCGCAGGAGTAGCAGATACTGGTACAAAAGCCTAGAGTGCCCTCTAGTGGCGGTGTAGCCTCTAGCGGCTGTCAGTGTGAAAATAACAAACATATGGAACAGCAGTAGCGGATACTGGTATACAAGCCTAGAGTGCCCTCTAGTGGCGGTGTACCCTCAGTGTGAAAATGACAGCCTACACTACAGTGTGAAACAAGTGTGAAATTATATATTTTAAAACATAAGTCGCACCTGAGTATAAGTCGCAAAACCTGCCAAAAGATAACAAAATAGTGCGACTTATAGTCTGGAAAATAGGATAGTTAAGATTAGGTCAATTTAGACCAGATTAGGTCAATTTAGATTGCCTTAGATCAGATAGATTTAGATTAGATTAGATTCAACTTCATTGTTATTGCACTTTTTTTTTTGCCCAAAATTTCGTTTGGAGTGACTTTAAAACGGTAATTGGTTCAAACCTTGTTGTCCTCCAAACCAACAGCACGTCTCTCTGATTTCTACCAGTAGACAACCTTCAGATAATCAAACAGACCAGGAAGTCAGTGAGGGTCAACACCACCGTGACCTTAGCTACACTCTAACCCCACCACCTGTCTCCTCGCACGTCTCCATCAGTCGTTTTGACAGCCCGCCACTGACTGCCTGATGGGTGAGTTCATCTCCACTAATGAAGCGTGTTAATGACAGAAAAACACCCGGCTAATCCTGCCCCTTAGTAGAATTACGAAAAAATGAACAGACAGACCACACAGCAGGCTAGGAGACGGAGTAGGTGTTACGGTGTTGGCGGGCGGGGAGGACACGCTACTGTGGTGATGCAATGATGATACTACGGATGAAAGACAAAGACGGCAGTCTCCCTCTCTCTCCCTCCCTCTCTCACACACACAAACCAACACACTCGCACACGACGTGCAAATCTGCATCCACCATCGCACCAACATGAAACACTCCATCATTTATCCGTTTTTTTTTGAGATTCACAAGCGTATGCATGAGTGCACGGGAACACAGCGTGGTTTGCTTGTTGTGTTTACTGATGATGTTTTGGGGGATGCACTCAACCCACCAGACAGATGGATCATTAAAATCAAAAGGGTCCATGCGCAACAAAGTCAGTCATCTGGGAAGAAGCACAGACTTGCCAAAGACTAAAACAAGGTTTGCTGGCAGGGGCTAAATGAATTTGTTGCATAAACAAGTAGAAACTTTTTTTTGCACTATTTGTGCAGAAATTCTTCTCGAGATCTCCGACAAACATTCCACAGCGGTCGGCGGTGCCGCGAGTCGAACGTTAGCATAATCTCTTCATATAGAACACTTTCTGAAAACGCAGAGCAAACAAGAAGCTGCGACCGACTCTGTGTGCTGTAAATATTCTCGACGGTAGTAAGATTTAAGCTGGAAAAAATGGAGTCAGTCATGTTTGGTGCAGCGAAAGAAACAAGTCCAGAACCATTCACAATATTTTCACCCGAAGTAGAGACAATCAAAAACCAGAAAAGTATATCAGAATAGGGGTTTAAACATGAGGTCCACAACCCATATAGTGTCCAAAAAGACCTCTATGTTCAAAAATTGCGGTGTCACAAGTGCCCGCAATCACTGTAGCTCCACAAAACCTAAATATAAACACATTAGTATTCAAGCTTGTGTAGTATCTGGATAGCTAAGAATCCAATGCAAAAAAAAATAATTAGGGTGCATATATGGAGAATGTATGCAGAGTAGACAGCCAAAAACATAATCTTTTTGAAAAACAAAAAAAAAAAAATTCCAGAAATGTACCTCAGACGTTGGATTTTCCTCTCCACATTTTATGATAGTGAAATTGGCCCATCGTCTGCCCACATATTTTGGAACACAGCGGGCATTAATTGTCTGATTGTCAATGATGCCACCTCGACTGAGTCTCCCCTGGCGAATAAGTTGAGCCAAGGTCATGATGAGTCACCGATAAGAAAAAGGGAAACAGGTGCGGAGAAGGAAACGGAAGGAAATGACATCTCTTTCCTGCTGCAAACTCCCACTGTTTGATGTCACAGACAAACTAGAATCTCTCAGGGAGATACTTATATATCATTAGCGATAAGAAGAAAAAAAAAAAAAAACACATATATAAGTCGCACCAGTGAAAGGATGAAAAAAAAAGTGCAACCTTTTTTTTTTCCGGAGCAGCAGATCCTGCTACACAAGCCTAGAGTGCCCTCTAGCGGCTGTCAGTGTGAAAATAACGAAAATGTAAAATTATATATTTTAATACAGTATATAAGTCGCAAACCCAGGCGAAGGACGAAAAAAGGGGAAAATATGGTAATTACAAATTACAACTAGAACTGACCCTAATAAAATAAAAACAATTTAATGAAAATTGTCAATTATAGAACTGACCCTAATAAAATAAAAACAACTTAATGAAAATTGTCAATTTGTATAGCAATGCTAAAAAAATTATATAGCCAAACCTTATTTAGTTTCATTTCAGAACTTGGGCTCAGGTGAGTGATTCCAAAAGTAAGGAGAAAAACCCCTCACTTGAGGGTGCAAGCAGGCATGTCTTAATAAATATAAATGTTGGACAAAAATCATATTTAAGCGAACAATAAAGCTCTAAGAAGACACCTGTTGTTTTTTTTTGTTGAGGTAAAAGTTAGTCTGGCACACGCCCAGCTATATCAATCATAGAGGAAGTCACAACCGAACCATCATTTCGGTTGTCCAATCACGGTCTGTCCTTGACACATGTGCGTAGTGTGACAAATAACAGTCCAAGCCCTGAGATGACAGTGTGCTCTATTAGCCTCAAAGCTACTGGACATAATCTCCGCCACTGTCTTCTTCTGCTTTTCAGTGTGCGGGTTTGCAGGGGTTGGATTTTCAGCAGAGAAACCCAGACGCTTTCCTCAGGGGTTGGATTTTCAGCAGAGAAACCCCCCAAAAAAACCAGCTTAGCAACGACCACAAACCCTGCTAAAAGGATTCTTAGGTGTTTCCAGGGCAAACTGGGAGATGATATCATCCCAGTGTGCCTGGGTCTTTCTCTGGTTCAT